CAGCTCCTCTTGCGAAACCTCGGGAGGATCTCCATCCTCATCACCTCCATAACTGTACTGAAGCTCATCATGTGTCTTCTCAGGAATGTGTTCCAGCCCGAGTTCTTCATCTCCATGCACCTCGACATCCTGGATGCCTGCAAAGTGCGGTGGATATAGGCTGGCCATCTTCCCACCAGGTGATCCTTCTGCAGCATGTTCGGCTGGTCTTGTTCGACTGTCTGAGCTTTCCTCGCCCAGTGGTTTTTTCTCAGTTTGTTGTGGCATTTCCTTTTCAGCCTCTTCAACTCTTGCCCCTCTGTTCCTGCTTCAGCCTCTCTCTTCTCGACTGACTTCCTTGGTGACTTGTCGTATCCTGCCTCTTGCTGTCTCTCTCCTCAGCCTCCTCATGTCGCCTCTTCGTAGCAGGTGTAGCAATGCCGGTGTTGTAGGGGCTGCATCTCCAATACCTTGACTGGCGCCATGTAGCCCAGGCGCCGGTGTGACAAGTCCGGCAGCCACTGTCTGGGCTATTGTCTCCAGCTCAGGTTGAATCTCAGCTTCCAACGTCGGTTGGCGATACTTTTGAGCTTGACCACCATGCTTCACGAGAATTCCTTGTGGAGAGTATGCCCAGGGCAGTCCTCTGCAGGGGATCATAGCTGGACCATTGAATGCCTGTTCTGGCGCCAACCTTCGAATTGTCCTGGCCTCACATGCTCCTTCTGGCATCAACACGATGTGACAATCGTTGAACGAATGCTTGCCACATGAGATGCCTTGCGCAAACACGTTTCAGCCCTTGCGCCGAATCATCCTCTTGTACACCGAGCACGAGCTTGCCACGATATTCATGCCCTGTAGCTAACCCTCCAGCACACGATATCTGTTGATCAGCAATGATGCGTGCTTGAACGACCAAGGGTATAGGTGGTTGCCTCCTAGGATGGAGAGTCGTGCTCGCTCTTCAGCAAAGGATCTCAAGCAATTTGCAAGCCTACTCACTGCTTGCACTGCTCGTTCCACAAACCCAATTGAGGCGTGCTGACCTGCTCCTGCAAAGTCGTAGTTCAGTCTGCATCCCCGTCACTTCTTGACCTGCTGAACTGACCTCAGGATCTGGCGGGTTGCCCTCTCTGAGTCCGCCTGGAAAATGCATTTCTCTCTGCCAGCATTCTCAAGTGAAAAACCGAATCACTTCTTCTGTCACCTGCTTCAAGCTTGCTGCGCCTTTGCTTGGAACAGGCACAACATGGATGGCCTTTCTCTCTGTTGAAGCCATGATCAAACAGGTGCCATATTGGTCTTGCCTTTCTTGGACTCTGCCCTGTGTTGGCTCCTCCATGCAGCCTTCAGGACCTGTGTAAGTGTACATGAAGTCCAACTGGATGATAGCTGTGCCCAAATCTGGCTTGCCTTGCGTTTGTCTTCCTTGGCTCTTGAAGCCACACATGCCTGACACCATGGGGCATAAGGCCAGTGCGTGACAAAGTGAAGCTCCTGTTCAGGCCAGGAGGGCAATTTCGGTTGTCCCAAGGTCATGGGCGTCCTTTGCTGCTCCTTGAACAACTTGCTTGCAACGCTGCAATGCTCATCTGGAATTTGTCTTCAATATCGACCTTGAAGGCAATCAGCCTCGACAGCAACCATTTTTGCTTCCTGTATATGGCAAACCTCTTGCTTTGCACGCAAGCTGCAATTCCTTCACGGTGCTCTGTTCTTCTCATTGTAGGTCACCTCATCAAGCTCGACCTCATTTCCTTTCTCCAAGACATACCTCTTCTCCATGTCTTGTGCTTCGACTTGTTCTTCCAACTCCTCTTCTCTCTCCTGCTCTTCTTCATCTGACCACTCGATGTGTCTGATCTCTCCTGTTGGTTCACAGGGTAGGGATGAACTGGTACTTCTGAGTTTGGTGCCCAGTAGTCCAAGAGTCTGCAGGGTGAAAAGAACGTGAGCATTCTCTCTGGGTTCTTGTCTGCGCTCACTTTCCGAAAGGCCTTCTCTCCAAGCTCCTTGTAGTTCTCGACGTTCTCGACTTGCCTCCAAAAAGCCTTCCAATCACCCTCAATGCTCTGGCTGGGGTCCGTCATGTAGACCGCAACTGGGTCACTGTGTGCGACCACGCCATTTGGCAAACGATGCCAGCCAGGCACATACTCCAGTTCTTCCACATAGCGGCTGAGATAGCCACGTAGAACCAATACCCTGTTCTCCTCCATCGACTGATCACTCTTCAATTCAACACCATAAATTCTGGCCTCAAACTGCAGCGAATGCTTCTCATTGCTATAATGGGGATGTTGATATCACGATCACCATGGCACAGCTGCAGCCCATTCTCCTTGGATTGAACGCTCCAACCTTTTCGGAGTAGGCGGCCAGCGCACATGATGGGGCGCTGAGCATTTCCAAGGATGAACTCCTCAATGATCTCAATCTCTTTGCCATTGATGTCTTTGATTCGAACTTTGGCTCGTGTCAAGCCTTGATGCTCGATCTTCTTTCCTTGAGCATCCACCATCTTCAACTCCTTTGATCCTGGCCCCCATTCTCCCACACTGCCATAGCTGACCGGCAGCACAGACACGGCAGAGAGTCACAAGGCATTCCTCCTCATCCATTTCTCTCACGCTGACCATCTGGATCATGTAGAAGGCGGTCTCCTCAGCCTCCACCTGTTGTAGGTCCAGTGCAACGATAGGAACTCCTCCAGGCGCTCAAACTGCTGGTTCAAGGCACTCATATAGAACACCTCTTCTTCCTCTGCATCAGCCAACGGCTCTGATCTCTCAAAGTTTTCCGCCAGCCTCACCAATTGAATCCTCCATGGATGTCGTTCACTGTCTGCAGCCGTTCGTGGTGTAGTCAAATCAAACACCTCAGCGCACGTACCATCTTCACAGATGATGTAGTAGTACTGCCAACTCCACCACCAGTCTGTCCTGTAGACGAACTTGATGCTCCTGCTGGGTTCTGCTGGTCTTCTACCTGTTGAACTCTCTTCCAACAGTCTTTGGCGTAGTGTCCTTGCTTGCCACAGACATGGCATGCACCACTTTTGCTGCCCTTTCCACCTTTGTCGCTCTTGCCTTTCTCAGGCTTCTTCCATGGACTTTTCTCCCAGGTGCTCTTGGCTCCTGCCTGTCTCTTGGCCTGCTCCCTTCCAGCTTCCCTTTCCTTTATATTTTCCTTTTCCTTTCTCCTTTCCTGTGTTCTTGCCTTTGGCATCTTTCCCTTTCTTTCTGCCCTTCTTGCCCTTCTCCTCCCAATGTAGTCGACCTTCATAGGGTGTAGGCTCGTCTCCACTGGCTCGTGTAGGAAGGTCAAACTGTTCAAGGCTTCCCATCTCGTAGTCAAAGCCTCAAGGTGATGGATCTTGTTCTTCAGTGACTCATAGGTGGTTGCATCGTCCACCCAAAGCTGCAAGCGCTGCTTCATGTTGCTGGGGCAGGCCTGCAGTATTGAAGCCACCTTGGCGTCCTCACCGTACTCTCTTCCTGAAATCCTCTCATACTCAGCCGCAAAAGCTTCATATTGAGGGAGTTGTTCACTGAGCGTTTTTACCCTCTGCGAATTGCACACGGGACAGCTGAGTCAGTAGAGCTAGACTCCTGGCATGTGTTGCCGGTTGCATTTCTTTAAGCAAAGTTTGCCATGCAGCGACACCGTTCTCCTGTCTCACATGGCGCACCAACTTCGATGGCCTTTGCCTCATGTAGGAAGTCAACAAATTGTACAACCTGATAGCCACGCCCTGCATCTCCTCTGACATGTCATCCAGGGCATAGTCTGCATTCATGTCCTTCTCCACAGCCTCCATAGCTGCTGCAAGGGCGGGATCGATGCCCCTGACAGAGGGAGAGGGAGAGGGAGAGGTAGTTGCAGAACGCAAACTTCCAATCACTCCATCCTCGAAGTTCATGATCACGTGTTTATGGTTTGAACACGTCCGGCGATTTCAAATGCCGGGACCAAGCCTGGGTGCTCTGGGAAACCTGCAACCTCTTCAAAGCTGTTGAGATGAGTCTCTCAAGCTCTCCTCAGCCATTGCTTCCAGCTTCGAAGGCTTTGGATAGTAAATCCTGGTGCTCCAGTCTGCTCCTCCTTCACTGTCTTGTTCTATGAAGCTCTGTTCAGTGTGGGCGATGAGCTCCCAAAACCTCCACTGTGCCACCAAAGCACAGACTTTGCCTCGCTGGATCTCTTCCTGCTTCGCCTCGAGCCTTTCTATGAAGGACCAGCTGCTAAGAACTACGACGATCACCTCACGAAGCGGTCTCCTTTTCTTATTCTTCCCGGACCAGGAGGGAGGCCTTTACAGCCTTCGATGACTTTACCCACTTGACCTTGCCAACGTAGACGTCGCCCTCGATGAACACCGAGTGGAACTGCCTCTTCTTGGTCTTCCACGATTTCGAAATCACTTGGCCAGGGCTGTAGAAATTGATCTCCTGCAAGGTCGGGGCACTGATGCCTCCTGCCAGGCACGCGAGCACCAAAAGCTCACAAATCCACATGCCCTTTGCTCTCGGGCTTCCACCAACCAGCGCAGATCGTGGCCACGTTGTGGCTGTCGTAGTGCCTAGCGGGCCCCGGCTCTTATGACCGGGGCTCCGCTACCATGCAAAGCGGCGCGAACCCTTTTGCGGGGACACACTTGGGCCTAAAGTGCCAGTCGAAGTCTCGTGAACATGTCAAGATGACTGACCGATATTGTTAGGTTCTGACTTCTCTGTAAAAGGAAACAGTATAGCATCCATACCAATGCAGCTATGAAAATCCCAAATGTATTGATGCAAATCGATAATGCAAACGATGTCTAAAGAAGAACCCTTCGCAACGCTCCCGGGAATAAAAACCGTTTACTTCCAAAGTACAGTATTTGTTCAAAAGCAACCAGCACTGTCATTCTGTGGCGGCTTCTCAAACAAACAACATGTTATCGCTTCAGGATCCTGGGTCCTTATTCCACTGCCTTCAGTTTATTCAAAAACCTGTCTGAAACACCAAACCCCAGCCTGAGGTCGCTCCAAGACACCAGGAATCTTCTCGAACTCATGCCCAGGGTGGATCGAGTCACGTTTTGCATGGCAAATTTGACAAAGATCGTAGTCCGCGCATGTCGTGCACTTGTATCTCTTGCCAATCAGTGGTTGTTTTGTTTCACAACCATCGCACATGATGTTGCGGTGAATCTCCACGGCTTGCTCCTCCTCTTCCTCCTCCTTTTTGCACCCTTGCGCCTCCTTTTGCACCACCTGGACTTCTGAGCCGGAAGATGTCCGCAAGTTCCGGACCAGAAGAGTGATGCAGGAGCGAGGCGAACATGTGTCGACCCCCGATGGCCACATCAAGCCAATGAAACCATGTAACATCATCTGCTCAAATCAAAAAGAGGAGCAAGGAAAACGAAAAAATAGAAATAAAACACGCAACAAGGAGCTCACTCAAAACTGGAAGCAAAGTGTTCTCTCCCAGTCGACTTCCAGAAGCCTCTGCAGCAGCTTCTTGGTTTGCCTTGATGCGTTCCCAGATTCGCTCCAGTGCCTGTCGCAGAGCGGTGAAAGGAGCAACGACTCTTCGGAGCCACCGACACTTTCCTCCGAAATCGCTTTGCCGGGGCCTTGCCATCGGGAGTAAAAACACGGCCAAACGGAGAATCGCGGAAGTGGAGCTTGGTGAGGGTCTTGTTGTGCTGCATGGCATCAGCCAAGGCCTGCGATGTGGACATCTAATGGAAAATTGAGAGTTGCAAGACCCGGGCCTCAACCCCGAAATCATCAATCTCACATCCATAGAATCTGAGATCGGTTAGGGTTGTGTTGCGCTGCAATGCTTTGGCCAAGGCCTGCAGGCAACAAATTTGTGAAGATCTGCCGGAGTTTGAGGAAAATCGCTTCAGAATATCAAATGCCCGGGCCTTAGCACCAACGTTACTTACCTCACAGTAGGAGAGGTCCACTTCAGTGAGGCTCCTGTGGTCTGTGAGGATCGCGGCCAAGGCCTGGTGGAGCGACCATCAAAGCAATCCACAGAAATCACTGCGAAAGGGACCCAGTGACCTGGCCTCAGCCAGGACATTTCCAATCCCTTCAGGACCTCGTAGATTCTTTAGGAGCAGCTTCTGCAACGGCAGAGTGCTCAAAGCCTGCCACGCAAAATGTTACTCCGAGCATTGACGAAAACACGAAAAGCAGATTGGACGAAAGGAGTTTCAACACAAGGCTCATTGAAAAAAGATAATATTTCTGAATGAGATGAATGGTGGAAGGGCCTGAACGAAAGCAATGACCTGTTCCTTCTCTCCAGTAAAAAGTTCGATCTTTAAGACCTGGAGATTCTGGTAGTGCGGCAGGGATCCTGTGAGCTCCACCAAGTGAGCCTGGGTCAAATCACTTAACTTCAGGTACTTTCGCGCCGTCACTTTCTCGTAAAATATCTTCTCTTGCAGGTGGACCACATCTTTCTGATCATTCCTGTGAGTGAAGTTGGAAGTCTCCATTTGACGGATGAATCCATCTGGCGCAGTCGGGACCTTCTTGGTCTCCTGGTCTCCTGATTCATCATCGGCCTCACCATCCATGACCATATTTTGTCCCAAGACGCTCCTGGCAGCGGACCATTCCTTTTCCGCTATGCACCACCCTCGGCCATTGTAGACGACACCATTCGCCATCAAGTCTCTTAGAGGGATGAAGACAACGGTTCCACTTGGCTCGTGATACACGGGGACCTTGAAGGTCTCATCATCGCACGCGGCGGCCCAAACATCTGGCGGGGTGAGACATTCTAGCCGAAAGGTGAGACTGCTTTGGTGGGCGTACATAAGATGCATGTTTCCCATGGCACGGCGGAAACTTCTCTCTTGCACTGTTGTCTTTCGCTGCCACTGAAACAGTGACACGTAATCATAGAATACCCAAATCTCAGAGAAGTAAGCGGCATCGTACAGGGAAAGACCGTTTACTAGGTTCTTCAACTGAAAAAGACATGGGTCAGGATGCTCACGCGTTTCCCACGCATGGGAAATGGAGCAGATCATTGCATCCTTTTTTCCCAAAGCCCACTGTCCTACTTCGTGGTGCGAAACCAAGGCAGACTTCGTCTCTCCACGCACCTCGCACGTGGCATCCTCAGCCTCTTGCCGGCGAGGCAACCATCTCTTCGTGCGGAGCAACTGATAGAGGTACCTGCGCAAATCTCAGTTCATGGAATCATTTGATTCAATTTGACGATACTTCTTGAAATGATTGAATGATTGTTGTATCCTTCTTCATGATCCTCTTATTCAATTCCTGTTGATTGATTCTAAGTGTTTCTTGGTGGCCATGCAAGATGAGGCTCTCAACACGAACAAGGCCGATGTTGGCATCTTCCAGGAACTTCGCAAAGACATTGGGTCTTCCAAGTTGTAGCGGGCCTGGTAGCGCCAAGAGTCAGATAAGAGTAGACATCTAACTCAAAAACCACCAATAAGTTAATGCTATAAAAGTAAAAGTTGACGTTTGCTTTGTTTGGGCATAGAACTCCCGGGGCCTAGCCTAGGCATAGACCTATCCTAGGCCCATGCCTACCCTAGGCATCGGCCTATCCTAGGCCCATGCCTACCGTAGGCATAGGCCTATCCTAGGTCCATGCCTACCCTAGGTATAGGCCTATCCTAAGCCTATGCCTAGGCTATCCATAGGCCTATCCTAGGCCTATGCCTAGGCTATCCAAGGCCTATCCCAGGCCTATGCCTAGGCTATCCATAGGCCTATCCTAGGCCTATGCCTAGGCTAGCCCTAGGTCTAGGATAGGCCTATGCCTAGGCAATCCATAGGCCTATCCTTGGCCTATGCCTAGCGCTATCCATAGGCCTATCCTAGGCCTATGCCTAGGGTAGCCATGGGGCTATCCTCGGCTAATGCCTCGCCTAGCCATAGGGCTGTCCTAGCCTCGTAGCCTTTTTCCTCCTGGCCCTCTCCTCCCTGTCCGTTGCTCTCTGCCTCCCTCCACCTGCCTCCCGCTCTCCCCTTCCTGCCGGATGCGCCCCGGCAGGATCTGGCACGCAACGACTGACCCACGCAAGGGCACCGGCGCTACGAAAAGGGAGGGAAGGAGGCAAAGCAGCACAGCAGCACCGCCGTGAGGGGCGCGCGAAACGTCGACGATTCGAGCGCCCCCCGAAAGTGGAGTGGCCGTAGGCACATGTAGAGCTCGCCGACCTCTGTCTTCCTCCTCCCCCTTCCTTCCTCTTCCGCCCTGTCGCTGCCAGTCCTGCGCGTTCCTGCCCCATCACGCAAGGGCATGGGCACCACGAAAAGGGACAGACGGGGGGAGGAAAGCAGCAGAGCAGCACCTCGGTGAGGGGCGCGCGAAACGTCCACGAGACTGGAAGCCGGCGCCGGTCCCGCGCAGGATGTGGCCCCGCAGGACCCGGCGCGCAACGCATCCTTCTAGCGGCTTTTGGCTCCTACGTTTGCGGCTTCGCGCGCCGTGCTGCCATGGAAGCGGATGCCTTGTGGGCGTCTAACTTGGACGTTTGCCCTTCCTGTGCGGCGGAGTTGCGGCCACAGCCGGTACAGCAAATCGAAGTCAGTCGTGCACCTACATGCATGAAACCACGGCGATGCAGCTGCGGGCCTTACGCTGCCGTGCGCGCGGCATGCAAGTGTATCCATGGTTTTGCCGTGATCGATGCGCGTGGTTGGGATCGTGTGCTGCCGGGTGACGCTGCGGCGCCGCGCCCGCTGCTGTATCCATTGACGCAAAGCGTTTGGCTCCATCGGAACTTGCTCGAGTGGTTTGATGGCTTGTTTCTCATTGGGGGTATCAGCGGGCACGATTTCCTGCTCTGCCGCAATGCCGTGTTCGGCGGGGGCGGATCTGCAGTGCGGCGCTCGCCTTTCTTCGCGGTGTATCTCCAAATTTTGTGGTGGTGGAATCACTGCTGGATACAGCTTGGATGGCTGGCTTCTTTGGAGCTCCTTCGGCCGTGCGGCTGCGGCTCAGTGGCCGCGCCGTGGATCGCAGCCTGGCGCTACAGCTCGCTTGCCAGCAGCTGTTCCCCGTGCTGCGGCAAGCGTTCGAGGACCGTTGGGTGACTACGCATGCTGCCTGGTGTGGTTGTGTTTGCGCCTCTAGCATTCTGCTGGATGGCAATGAGAAGCTCGTCCCGCATGGGTGCTGCTTCGCCGAACGCGGTCTCGATGGGCGCACCGCCTTCTGTTGCGCCGCGGGCACATCACCTGCGGCATTGCAGAGCATCGTGCGCAGGAGGAGCATTTGCTGCAGGTTCATGCTGCCCGCTTGCGCGACCGCCGGCGGCAGAGGTGCGGCTTTCTTTCGTCGCCTTTTGTTCGTTGTCGTCTTTTTGTCCGGAGGAATACACACACACCTTGGTTGTGGCAGGTGGCAGCCGCGTGCAGCGCGGACTCCGCCTGCACAAGTGCGGGCGCCAGAGGCGGCTGACTGCAACACCTGCAAAGCCCGCAGCGTCCGCGCCTGCCAGCGTGGCGGCATCCTTTGTGCGACCTTCGGCTGTGGCATTGTCATGCCTCCCCAGCGCTTCCACGTGGCTGAATCTTTGCCGCAGGTAGCAGCCTACGTGGAGCACCTGCTGCGAATCAATCCAGGCGTGGCTGCGGCCCCGCTGCTGCCTGTCATCAGCAAGGCACCTGGAACACCGACTGTGTGCTCCTCACCTTTGCCGACCCTGCTGGATCCGGCCTCTGGCGTTGTTCCTGCGTCCGGGGATGCAGCGGCCAGCGTGCGTTTCCCGGGAGACTCTCGAAACCTTACAGCCGCTCCTCCAGCGGGATCCGCGGGCAGCAAAAGGCTCCCCGCCGCCGCCCGCATCTGGACGACTTCTGCTTCGTCGCTCCTCTTGTTTGGGTCCGGGCCGGAGCTTTCATTGATGCCGTGCATCGTGGATCAGAGAGTTCTACAACCCTCCGGCTGTGGCAGGCGTGGCTGCAGTTGGAAGTAAATTGACTTGCCGGTGCCCCTTTGCTACCTCTATATACATCTTCGGGTTGACCTTCTGAAGGGGGGCACCAAGTCGCAGCAGTCGCGAAGCTGCGCGAGAAAACCGATTGAGGGGTCGGGGGCGTTGGCATCCTGCGCTTGTGGCTTGCACGCTCACACTTTCTTGCGTGATGGGGCAGGAACGCGCAGGACAGGCAGCGACAGGGCGGAAGAGGAAGGAAGGGGGAGGGTGAGGGAGACAAGCGAAAGGGAGCGGGAGGAAGACAGAGGTCGGCGCCACTTTCAGGGGGCGCTCGAATCGTCGACGTTTCGCGCGCCCCTCACAGCGGTGCTGCTCTGCTGCTTTCTCTCCCTCCCTCCCTTTTCGTAGCGCCGGTGCCCTTGCGTGATCGCTGGTATTCGGGGTCAGTCGTTGCGTGCCAGATCCTGCCGGGGCGCATCCGGCAGGAAGGGGAGAGCGGGAGGCAGGTGGAGGGAGAGCAATGGACAGGGAGGAGAGGGCCAGGAGGAAAAAGGCTACGAGGCTAGGCATAGGCCTGGGATAGGCCTATGTAGGATAGGCCTATGCCCTAGGATAGGCCTATGGCTACCCTAGGCGTAGGCCGAAGACAGGCCTATGGATAGCGCTAGGCATAGGCCTAGGATAGGCCTATGGATAGCCTAGGCATAGGCCTATGGGTAGCGCCAGGCTAGCTCCCTAGGCCCCTGGGATAGGGGCTACCCTGGCTCGAGTATAGGGGTAGCTGTGGGAGTTCTGTATGTTTGTTTGAAACAGCAGCTATCTTGAGCCATGCTGCACCGATGACTCTAAGAGGTTAAGTTCAGGTTTATTCACGCAAAGACATTAAACACAAGGATGTGAAACCCAAAGCCCTTGCTCGTAGCAATAAGGCATCTGCAAGCCCGATGTTCAAACCCGCAATAACCAGAATTGGGCCACAAACAAATCTGTCAATCAGCAATGCCTCCAGCAGGATTTCGTCCAAGAAGTCTCCATAATAAAGAGTCGCATTGGTGCCACAGGAAACAAACATGAAGCGTGTAAAAAAGTCAAAAAGTTGAAGCAGAATCATTATTAACAGTCCAGAAAAGGATCGCTGTGAGAAATGTGGTTGCCTATCAATGATCAGTTGCAGGCATCAAAACATAGTTCCTACATGTTCCTACCAGCGCTTAAAGATAGTTGGGCTTTAGGGTGGGTTATAGGCATTGTTCAACTAGAGTAGAAAGTATGAGTTTCGTGGCAACGAAGAGAGAAAACAGTTGCCTCTGGCAGGATGGAGTTCAAGAAGTCCTTGTACTGAATGATCTCACTGTTGCCCAAGGCACCAGTGAGGACATCTTCCACACGGTCCTGTGGACTGGCCAGTTCAAAGGGAAGCTTTCAGCAAGCCTCAAACGTCTTTCATCTTCAACTCTGCAGGAGTTGTCAACATGCATTTTCATGGCCCTGCTTCGAATAAGACTGCACCGAGACGGCTACCCAGAAAGCTCTCTCTCTTGCACCTTCGCACACCCAACTCCAGTCAAAGCTACCTGCAGTTGCTCTTTGCCTCGCAAGAAATGCACGTTTCCAAGTCTATATAAGACTCTCAACTGTCAACGACTGAGTATTCACCTTACTGTATCCACCCATGGAGGAAGGAGTTTCATTGATGGAACCACATCAAAGCTCATGGGCCTAAATGAAAGCGTGCACTCATCTCAATCAAAATTTGGAGCCTGAAATGAAATACACTTGAAACGTGTTACAACAACCAGTCTTGCTTGCTCCGGCGCGCAGCTTCTTCATGCGTTTCTACTTTGCCTATCTCGCCATCCGGAAAGTTCTGCTCCAAGTTCTGCCAAAGTTTCTCCAGTCAGAGTCTGCAAATGTTTCTAAGGTTTCTAAGCACCAGTAACACTCTCTTTATGTATGCTTCTCCAGCGTTTTACGAACTGTCGATTTCCAATACCCAAGAAATTTTCTCAGACGATGCAACGCCTTTGCTGTTGGGTTTGCTACCTTGCCAACTCTTTGACCGTGAAGGCAATGTCATACCTCTCTTGGCACGGTATATTCCTGATCCAACAATGCTCCTGTAAACCATTGTCAGCTTGGCGTCTGTCAATGCTTCTGACTTGTCCTCTAGCTGTATTGAACTGTCTGCAGGGAGTTGCTGCGCTTTGATCTTCCCGACTTCGTCTTCATAGAGTTTTGTCATTTCTTGTATGTAGTTGCGTGGTTGTATCCACACGCCTTCACTAGTCAACTTGCACTTCCTCCTCAAGAAGCTCATGTCACCTCCAACTTTCTCAATCTTGTTCACACTTGTGTCGGAGTGCTTTGGATGCTAGGCAAGAAGACGTTGTTGGCGCAGAGCCTGAAATCAAAAGGATGCATTCTTCAACTTTTCACAGGCACGGACATTCTGCACTGAACTTGAAGTCCAACTCTTGACCAACGACCAAGGAACCTTTGCTCCAACTCTTTGCCCTGGCAGATTTCTCTTTACCAAGTATTCTTTTCCTTCGACAACTCCTTCAAAGTTCGACAACTCCTTCAAAGGTTTCTTGTGGGGAACTTGTAGGAAGTCGTAAACATCCCAGCACCTGACTGAGCTTCTCCTCGCCACACTTTGCTTCCTCCTCTTCACTCGCCTTCTGAAGAAACACTGCGGGGAGAATTTTGAGTACATGTAATGTACATGTCCTGACGTAGCTGGTGACAAAACGTCGTCCCTTCATCCTTCTGCAAAGGCAAACTCTCCGGCTAGTCCTGCCGTGAACGTCTTTTCCACCTTTTGACTACGATCCCATCCTCCTTCTTGCATGGCTTCCTCCTCCAGTCATATACGTACCTGGTAGTCAAAAAGTTCACTCCATTTGTGTTCTCTTGTCGAAGTTCAAGCAGATTCAAGCGCTCCCATCTTTTGTAACCTTTTCTCTTCGACCCCACTCCTCAGGATCTTCTTCTGGCGCTTGATCTCCGTCTCTCCAAAGACACTCAGGGTCATTGACATTCTCTTCTTCTTCCTCCTCCTCGTCTTCAGGAAAAGGGGGCAGATCTTCATCCACCTGATAATTTTTTTGCGCAAGCTTTACCAAGTTGATTCTTGGTTTCCTTTGGTTTTCTTCTGAATGTTTCATCTTCTTCATTGGGCTCTCTTCCTCTGGAAGTTCAAAAACATCTCTCGGCCTTGATGTCGACGATGAAGACAAGCGGGTAGGCGCTGGTGTAGTGTAGTGTAGGTGTCACTGGATTGGGTGTCAACTCCCCACCGGCGTGCCTGTTGGCAATGCCTTCAACTCATTCAAGGTCTTCTCGTCTGCAAACACGACTTTCGATCTCTTCTCAACTGGCAACTTTCCTTCGACCATCTCCACCTTCTCCCTCTCCACCTGGAAAAATCTGCAAACCGGGAATCATTCTTGGCTGAAGAAAAATCATCTCTCTCCAAGCCACTTTTAAGACCTTTGCCGTCACCAACTCTGCATCCTCATCTCTGAACTTGAGCGTGATGCGCTCTCTAGGGATCTCACCCTTCCCCCCTGGAAGGGCTTCTGTTCGTCTTTTTGCGGCAACGACGCGTCCTCCAAAGTCTTTTTGGCGCTCCCATGAGAAGGCGTTGAAGCTCTTGTAGATGGGCAAACACTTCAATCACTCCTGATCTGTCCTCGTGATGCACTTGCTCAAAACTATCTGGGTTCCATCGGTCAGGATGTAAGTATCCTGGCTCTCGACTTTAGGTGCCACCGAGCTTCCTTTTGTTGCTGCGGATGTAGCCATGGACTGGTTCCCCATAATCTGCCAGATGTCACTCGTATGGTCCTCCATATACAAGTTCGTATGCACCAGTTGGAACCGGTTCAACACCCACCTGGCACGTCCTCCAGCCCAAGTCCACAAAGAATGATCTGACACCACCTTGATGTCCAAGCGGGATTGTAGTTGCTCGATGAAGCTTCCTGCCAATTTCCAACCTTGATCAACTGCGTTTTCTGACAGGAACGAATGGTCACCGTGGTCACCTAGCTTCGTACGATTCAATCTCGCGGTGGGGCCCAACCAATGCCTTGCATTGATCAGGAGCTTAAGGATCTGGCGAGTCATAGGTTCATTGTCACTCCTGTACGATAGCCCAGTGTCTAGCTGAAACTAATCAACTCGTTTGACTGTCAATGGCCACCAACCAACATACTGCCCTTGCCGCCTTGGAATCTGAACCTGTCGCCCTTGCATAGCAAAAGTCAAAGCTGACTTCTGGAATGGCACTTCTTCGACTGCCTTCATTTCTCAAGTGCCTGCTTCACTCATCAAATTTTGGCGTTGAGTAACTCCATGCCCGCGTAGACCTCGATCTTGGAACCACTGCCTGAAATGCTCAAGAAAGCACAAAACAAAAACGAAACCTCAACGTCGACAAGGTTGAATCCTTAGTCAAAACGACCCCGTTGATGTGAACATTGTCCACCTCCACAAGATCCAAACGCAGCATGCACTCTAGTTCCTCCTTTCTCTCATCCTCTCTCTTCTCATCTTCAAGCATTTCTCTCGGTGGGCTTGGTGCTCATATCTTCTACTGCCTTCTTGATCACTTTCTTTCGGTCTTCTTTCGCTTCCAAACTCTTCTGGTCTTCAGCAAACAATCCCATCTCTTCTGGCGTTGCTGGCTCATAGCTGAAGAAAGTCACGGTTGGAACAACTGTCTCCTCACCTCACAAAAATTCAGACATGACCCACTTCTCTCCTTTCCTAATGAGTGTGGTTATTATCAGGTTGGGGAAGTCCTCAATCTCTGGGATGAAGGTTGGATCAACAAATCGAAAAACACTACCAACCAGCATGCCATGCTCATTGAACTTCCACCCTGCGCTCTTCTCCAGCGCTTCCGGCACCTGGACCTCCAAGCAATCCTCATTGTCTTTAATCACCCCAACTCTGCCACGCACGACCAATGACTTGTCCTGCAAATGAAGCGGGGCTCGAAGGTCTCCAT